GTTGCAGCCGTCATTGTTGTTTGGCGGGTCCGGGCTGGGGATTCGAACCCGCCACCTTAGGTGTACGTGGCTGGCGCCTTAGCAGGTTGAGCTATAGGCGCCGAGCCGAAGTAGACATTCTTAATGTGTTTGACTAGCCAGAATAACAGTCTGATACATTTGGCCAACATACTCTTCAGGGGGTTCCTACTTATTTTTTTATTTGGGGTGTGTATCTATTTGGTACAGCTTAATTCACAACAATTCAGCACTGAAAGTGATTTACTAAAATAATATTTCTGAACAAAACTTAGAAGAAATGAAAGAGCCAACAACTGTGTGCCCAAGCTAATTCAGACATACAAAAGTATCTTTTTTTTTTCCAGTTTTTGGCCAGGGCCAGATTTGAACCTGCCACCTCCGGTATATGGGGCTGGCACCCTATTCCTTGAGCCACCGGTGCTGTCCACAAAAATATCATTTTTGTAATAATGGAAAGTACCTTCCAAGTATTTGTCTAGGAAATAGGGTAGCGACAAGTAATACAGAGTTCTAGCCCTGAAACACCTTGGATTAGAGAAACTAAATCACAGACAGTAATTAATGAGAAATAAATGTAATTTGATTTACACATTTTAAAAACACATCAATTGGACATCATGCTACATTGCACTAAAACAAAACAAAACAAAAAACCACTGTAAGCAGTCTTCTAGAAGACATTTACTAATATCAAGTAAATGGCTAAAAATATATATTACCATCTATTTATAAAAACTAATTATAGAATATTAGCCTAATTATGACTTTATCATATTTTTGCCACATGTATACATTCAGATTCCCTTAATTACAAGCTTAATTATATTTATTAGATTGTCTTCCACATTTAACAAGAATACTCCCTTAGGTTATGGCCCAATTTGCAGATTTTACCAAATTAATTGTAATGATTAAATTAAATATATTTCTACATACATGTAGTAAAAAGTACATACAACACAAAGATTCATACTTAGATTTCAAACTATATGCAAAAAAATTGTAATGTACATCTGAAAAGACATCTATCCATAGGCATATTTCTTTTTCCCTGTCCCACAGCATTTCTTGACTCAAGTTACCTAACCAGACATTGAAGATACATAGCCTACTTTTTCCCTTTTGTCTTGATTATTAAAAAATTATAAATTTAGCATCTCTAGTTTACCCCTCTTCTTCGGTTACCCATTTTAACTAGAATTTTGGACTGAACATTGAGTTAATAAGTAGGATCTAACTGTTCCTGAAAATAGGCAGATTATAAATGAATACCTTATTTAATTTAAAAAGAGAAGGATATATTCTTATAAAATAGAGACAAAATAGAAGTTTTTGTTTTTCCTAGATTTCTTTTACAGTTGAAAAGTAGACAAAGGCTTGGACATCTGTATAAAATTTTTAGAGTCATTATTATATAACTTGATGATTGACATCTAAAATTCTCTTTTTTTTTTTTGAGACAGAGTCTCACTATGTTGCCCTTGGTCGAGTGCCATGACATCACAGCTCACAGCAACCTCAAACTCTTGGGCTCAAGTGATTCTCTTACCTCAGCCTCCCTAGTAGTTGGGACTATAGGCACCCACCACAATGCCTAGCTATTTTTTGGTTGCCGTTGTCATGGTTGTTTAGCAGGCCTGGGCCAAGCTCCGTGTATGTGGCCGGTGCCCTACTCACTGAGCTACGGGCGCCAAGCCTGAAATCTAAAATTCTTATGAAATAATAAAACCAAACAAGTCCTCTATGCCTCCCTCTCCGCAAAACTAAGTTGAATGGAATATCAGATCTTTAAGAGTACAAATGGAAAAGACTAAATCACATCTTTTAACATTGCTCAGGTTTTAGTAAGTAATTTTTTCTTATAAGTAATTTGAGCCTATTTCTAAGAAATCATTTTATGATGGCATCATTAGTGTAGGCCAATTATAATTTGCTATTAGCAGTCATATACCAATGCTACTTCAGTACCTGATGAACACAATGGCCGTGGGGGGGCAGTCACTGACCTCAGAATATATGCATTTTGCAAAACATCTCTGTACCTTACATATCATTATACAAGTAACTAACAACATTTTAATCACATTCTCTGCATGTTCTTTTCATTATATTTTCTTTTTTTTGAAACAGAGTCTCACTATATTGCCCTGAGTAGAATGCCGTGCTGCCACAGCTCACAGCAACCTCAAACTCTTGAGCTTAAGTGATTCTCTTGCCTCAGCCTCCCAAGTAGCTGGGAATACAGGCACAGGAATATAGGAATACTGCCACAAAGCCTGGCCATTTTTGTTGTTGTTGTAGTTGTCATTTTTGTTTAGCAGGCTTGGGCGGGGTTTGAACTCACCAGCCATGGTATATGTGGCTGGCTTCCTAGCTGCTGAACTACAGGCACAGAGCCTATATTTTCTTCTTCTGATGTGTGGCTGGAACAAATGTATTTGCTCCAATCACTGTATGCCTTCAGCTATTTCCAGTCTCTCCCACGGGAACAAAGTTAGCAGCAACCTTTGTTTGGTAAGCTTTTCACTGCTTGTCTCATAACTCTTCCTTTTGGTTTGGTATGAACTGTTCCTCTTGTCACTACACTTTGTCCTTGATTGCACTCATGTCTACAAAGATTCATTGCCACTGTATGTTTTTTGTGGAGACTGTGCTCACTTGGGGCATACCTTCTTATGTTTTCTTCACAGAGCTGTTGTGCCAAATCTTTCAAAAAGAATTTTCTTCCCTATTGTTTCTTTGAATGAAGTTGTGACCAGTGGTTATTTATTTCCTGAAAAATCAGATACAAATTGTATGCTGCCATATCAATGATGTTGAAGAAAACTGTCAGGGGCCAGTACTAGACAGGAATATGTTCTCATGCACACACCTGCTTTAGTAGCTTTTTAAAAGTAGATTACATCAGGCTTGTTATCCATTACCTTCATATCTTCATGATATGTGGAAAGTACTGAACTACCTTTTCTGTATTTAGAACACAACTAATGTCACCTAGGGAGAGAAGGCAAATGTTAGTCTATCAGATAGAGAGTTTTCACTGATGCTGGCTTGAGTTTTAGAGTCAAATCCCCTTTATTCCTGTGAATAGTACTGACTGTGGTTATATTTTTTTGAAGCAAGTTGAAAGACAAGGTAATAGAGGTAAACTTTCAGTCCACGGTAATATTTCTTCCGTACTGATCCAAATGACAGTTCTGAACCAGTCTTTTTATAATTTCAGAGCCACTATTGTAATTTCTTAGAAGGTTCTCTTATTTCCCTGCATATAGCTCTACCACCAAAGAGTAGTTTGTTGAAGAATCACACAAACAATTCAATGCCAAGTCCATACTTTCCAGCTTTAGTTGGTATGTAAAGTCTGAATGGACAACAGCCATGGAAAGACATTAATTCCTCATTGATAGTAAAAAGGGAGAGATTATTTACAACATTCCAAAGCTCTTACACTTGAGGAAATTTATC